GAATGCCAGGAAGGAGAATGAGAAATCATTCATTGCTTTGAATTATTCAATAAATATTTTCTGAGCACTTATTATTTGCCTGGTACTGTTGTAGATGCTTGAGATACATTGGTGAAATGCATTAATGCATGACTTTATGTCTATAGCATTTATAAATTGCCTTCTATTTGATTTGGTTCTTTACATCTTATATTTTTAATTATCCCATAAAATTTATGAATAAATTAAATTAATTAAATGAGTTTAATGTAATCTATGTATAAAATTAGAAATAATTTAGGTATTGATTATTTCTGATAGAATTTATTTTGTTGTTCTTTAAAAATTTTTTTCTATAAGATACAGTATTGGATTTATGTGAACACTAGAGATTTTTCAATACATTTGAGTTAAAAGAGCATCACAAACAGGAGATGGCCAATCCATTCATGGCATTTCTTTGTAAGCAAAAGTCATAGTTCTTTGGTAAAATCTTTTGCCATGGGAAAGTTATAGCAAGTTCTAAAATAAATTGAAGAGATAAATATTTCCTATAATTTAGGAAAATTTTAAATTTGTAAATCATGATTTATTGGAATTTTATAAATATGGCTGGTTGACTTTGAACAGTTTGGGTTTTAAGTGAATGAACCAGTATGTCCTTGAAAACACAGAGGAAAAAAAATATTGACATACAGAGGGATGGATACATATAGATATATAAAATTTACTTATCTGTTATTTGGTGCATCCAGTTGGGATTTTAAAGATGTCTAATGTGCTAAGCTTCAGAATATTCTTGAACCAAGAATGAGAATCCTTTCTCATTCTTGTTTGCGAAAAATAGTCTGCAAAATAGCTGTGTGCATTTCATAAAGATCAGTCACATTTTTCTTTAATTTATGCATGGAGGTGGGATCTGACATAATTTCAGATGTTTTTTTTTTTCACAAAAAGGGACTATATGCTCACAGGAATTTAAGAAATGTTCAGGGAGGGGGGTAGGAGATCAACTGAAGGACTTGTATGCATGCATATAAGCATAACCAATGGACATAGACACTGGGAGGTAGGGGAGGCCAGGGGATTGTCAAGGGCGGGGGGGGAAAAAGGACACATATGTAATACCCTTTGTAATACTTTAAGCAATAAAAAAATAAAAAATAAAAATTCTAAAAAAAAAATGTTCATATAATGACTTTGAACAGAGGCTCTGAATAAGATTGAATTGGATTTAACAAAGATGCACCCACTTATGTGGACCTTCATGCTCTATTATTTATTGTCTTTGATTCTGTTTTCTCATCACATAAATATACTAATCTTTAATACACAGAGTTATTAGAAATCAATAAGATAATGAAAATGAGGAGGGTTTCGCACAGGATCTGTCTCATAGTAAAGATTCATTAGGAAATAATCATTATTTTATTTATGTTATTATTAGGCACCTACTAGGTGTTTGCTTCAGAATAATACTGAGAATATTGGCTTGAACTTTGGTTTCATGTGTAACCTCTAGTTGGTGAACTAATGACTATACACTTGAAATAATAACTGAAAAAAAAAAAAGCTGTTTGGTCTAGCCAGCGTGACTCAGTGGTTGAGCATCATGGTTCCAGGAGGTTAGGGCATATGCCCAGGTTGCGGGCTCCATAACCAGTGTTGGGTGTGCAGGAAGCAGCCGATCAGTGATTCCCTCTCATCATTGATGTTTCTATCTCTCTCTCCCTCTTCCTTCCTCTCTGAACTCAATAAAAATATATTTTAAAAATAGCAGTATGGATGAGAAAAGACAGATTTTTTTTATTTCATGTAAAGTTTGGATTCCTTTTACATAAATATTTTAAAGGGTCCTGAAAAAAACCTAATTTTTTTTATAAATACTATTCATTTATACTGTTTATTTAAGTAGAAACAAACTCATAGATAAAGTATTTATTTTTAAAAATAATTTTAATTGATTTTAGAGAGAGAAGGGAGAGAGAGGGAAACAGATATGAGAGAAAAACATTGATCAGTTTCCTCCTGCGGGGATCAAACCCACAACATCCACATGTGCCTGACCACGAATCGAACTGCCACCTTTTGGTGTACAGTATGAAGCGCAACCATCTGAGCCACACTGGCCAGGGCTGATTATTAATTAGCTTTTTGAGGAAAGGAAAACAAGAGGCAATTCAGTTTTTCCAGTTTCTCTTTGAAAAGTAGAAAGGTGTTACATCTTGTTGCTGCCAAGTGGAGCAGATTAAAGGTCACGACAGCATGCCAGATGTCTCTCTAATAAGAACATTCTAGCACACATGAGAGAGGGAGGGAATAACTTTTACTCTACTTTGCTCATGAAAATCAAGAA